TCAAAAACCTTTTCTTCACAAATAATTGCAGAAAATACAAGAGTCAGCAGAAAATCGTCGGATACATTTGTTATTACTATTTTTTAGTATTAACGTAGTTACTGTGTGCCACAATCTACTACAATCACCCAGTCTCGCAAATTCATGTTAATGCTCACGCGTGTCTGAGATCTTTATTTCGAAATTCCAACAAATTTAAGAAAACCGTTTAAACAAGCATTTTTTTAAGATTTTTTGTTGGCCAATGTACATACGCATATGTCTATATGACATACATACGTACTTATGTATGTATGTAGGTACATAACCTGCTCTGGCACATTTGAATAGACAAATCGGTATGCAACGAGAAGCTGCGAGGCAAATTATGACAAATACACGCGACATTAACCCAAATCACGGCAACAACTTCCAAACAGCGACATACAGACATACTCGTGCATGCAAATATATTTACATAAGTACTTATGTATGTATCTGAAAAGTGTGCGAACTCAAGCTGAGCAACATCAACTACCATATTTCAAGCAATGCTCATCTCAATAAAACAAGCTTTGGAAAAGAATCTAAGATATAATTGAATATGTATGAGGGTGCATATGTACATATGTGCATTATGGTGCATCACCAAAAAAAAAATTGTGGCTTTTCTACCGGAATTATAAAATGTATAATATTTCAAGGCTTATGCCAAAATATTAAAAAAAAATACTAAGATTTACGTGAGCTGGACCGATTTGAAAATAACTCCAAAAATTTTATTATTTTGATTTCTTTGATAAAATTTTTAAACAGTTTTATAAAAGACCTTTTAAGCTTAAACTCCCCTATCTGAGTTGATTTTTTGAAAAAAAAAAAACAATTTAACTAAATTTATTTATAAACAATTTTTCAAAGATATTTTGGCGGAAGCCTTGAAATATAAAAGCTTAATGTTTCCTTTGGAAAAATATTATCTACCGAAATTTTTTTTTTATGGAATGTGGTGCACCCTAATGTATGTATGCATATAAATAAATTTCTCAAGATTGCTAAGCTTATTTGAACATATAGATACTATATGTATAAACATATGTATTTTCGCAACATTTTTTGCGACTATCGCACATATATTCGCAATTGTGACACGACAACAACAACAAAAACTGAAAATAAAACTAAAAAGTCAAAGTGGTATGTCAGAAGCAGCAAAATTACATGCGATGCTACTATCTACAACAATAAGAACAAACACCGCAAATGCGTAGGTTGATCTGAAGAAGCGCGCTACGCCTGCAACCACACCGCTCAGCTGGCAATTGGCGGCATGCGGCTGGCGGCTGGCTGGTGTCGTCGTCCCTGTCGAGTGCGAATGTCGTTCGTTGTCAGCAATGACAGACAAAGCAACTATGTAGTTTCTGATAATTCTGACCACATGCAGCGTCATTTCAATTAAATGGCGAGCGTGTTGTAAGCTCCGACAAGCGGCTTACCTCGTGCGCACCTTCGACGTTGCCGTTCATTGCTGCGGGTTCTGTTCTGCGTCTAGAATTTATTTTCATTTACAATATTTATGTATGCTATTTGTGGCACAAATGAGCGATAATAAATAAATGATTGTGCCGATTGCTGCTGCAACAACAACAGCAGCAACATGAATGCCTTTTAGCTGTGGAGTAAGAGCGAATGCAAGTTTTTTTGCTTTTTTTTTTTGCTCAACGAAAATCGAAAATGAATAAATAAAAGAATATTTTCTGTGTCAGGGTTCAGTTGTAAATTATGCTGGCTGTAAATGCGTAGATACTTGTAACATATTTTTTAAAGGATTGCAACAATAATAGTAGCACAAATGCATTACTCTGTCGTTCCCTGTAGGAAAATTCACTAAATATGTATGCACTGGAGCGCATGACTGATTAACTTGAGTTTCTACTTTGCTCGAGTATAAAATGTACAAGTGTGATCGCGGCATCACTTTTTTAAATAGATTTTTTTGGTGAAAAGTTCTTCAAAGTACATATGTATGTATTTATATTAGGGTGGTCATACATTTTTTCCCAGCCAACCCCCAAAACTATATAATACCGAAAATAAGGAAACTTGTATTTTTTTATTTTGAAATCGGTTAACATTTAAAAGCGTTTGAAGTTTTTCTTTCGTATGGAAAAAATAAATTTTTTCCTAGAATTGCTATAACATGGTTAAACAAAAAAACAAAAAAAATTTTGATCGAATGAAAATATTTCCCTTCAGAAATCTTCAAACAAAAAAAACTATGTGGCATATTTAACTTTAAAATTTTTCTAACTGCTTCTTCATAACCGATAATCTCGTCTCTTATATACAAAAATTACTTCATAACCACATCACGCGCATAACCACATTCCAGGGTTAAAATTGCATCATAATTCCATTTTTGCAAAATATCTGAAGGGAAATAATTTTGATCAAAAAATATTTATTTTTTAATATTTATAGCAATTCTACAAAAAAATCTATTTTCCCCATATAATATATAAATTTCAAAGCCCCGCCGAAACGTTCAAATATTAATCGATTTCAAAATAAGAAGATATGGGTCTTCTTATTTTCCATTTTCATTATTACTGGCGGGTGGCAGCGTTATTTTCAGATTTAATTTTTTAGATCTTAAAAGATCTATCGAAAAAAAATTTTAAATACTTAATTTTATCGAAAAATAAAAATCCAAAATAACGATCAAATTTGACCGAAAAAATAAAAACCAAATTTGAAAGCTATTCTTGACCGCAAGAATAAAAATAAAAAAATAAGGATTTGGCAATAATCTAAAAATATAAATTTTCATATGAAACTTATTTTCGGTCCCTAATAGAACGTTACTGGGACGGTGTTTCCGGAGAGGACCGCGAATAAATTGTCTCTACCCAGCCGAAAGCTGCCGTTTCGGCGATACGCCTCTGTGTTGATCGATGTACTCTATTTGTCCTTGTTCTATATAGATTCACAGCCATAGATGAAGCGTAGATTCATAAACGCACACCTGAAAGCAATGAAAAGTCAAAACAGTTGTTAGAAGCTGGCTCAATTAATTTAAAGAAGGTCATCGTTGTGCTGTCTGTTGAGAAAGTTGTTGCAACTTTTTTTAGGATGCGCATGACTATATCAACGAAGGTTTAATCGGTGGAAAAAAACGTTTGCTTGGAAGGCTTTAGGAAATCGTATTATTTTGAGGTCTTAAAAAATTAGTGACGCATTTGAAGAAGTGTTTCGTGCTAAAGGAAAACTATATTTAAAAATAACCAGGATTATCCATCTTCCTATTGGGGAAGTAAAGCTAAAAACGCCACAAAAGGCTGTTTTCTCAAGTAGGTTGTTAAATACATATATTTCTCCTTTAAATACAAATTTTTTCTGAAAAAAAAATGTGTTTGAAGGACAGATAAATTTTAAAACTTGCTTGAGAAAATCAAATATCTTCCATGGCACTATTTGTCGGACCTAATCGTTTGGTGTAATTTCCGATGCCTTTTTTTACAAAATTCTGGCACTAAGTCTCTCAACTGCTTTATAGTTGTAAAATAGTCTCATAAAAAGACATCCGAAAGAAGTAGAATCGCATGATCTTCGGGTTCAAGCCACTTTGCTGAAGCCGAAATCATGCAACATGAAAATTTCTCGCGCAATAGAACCATACGTGTATTGCATGTAGCCCCGCCTTATTGAAATTCTATTTTAGCTACATCAAAATTAAAATTTCAGGCAAAACCATCATAGATTATGTATGATGGCAAAGCGCTGAGAAATGAGAAAGCTACGGTGACCCGTTTCCTCTTTTTCCCACATTGCACACCAAACAGTCACTTTTTACGGTTGCATTATCTCTCAGCGTTCACTTGCGGCTGCTAGCCATACCAATTTTGGCAATTTTCCTTATTAACATCACCCAGCAACTGAGCGTAAAATGAGCTCCGCCAATGTAGAAAATTTTTTTTTTATGTTCGAAAACACAGCCATTGAAAATTTATAATTTGTCAATGACTTCAAAAAAGGAGGAGGTTGTCAATTCGTCGGAATATTATTTTTTTATGTATGTTACCGCATAACTTTGGACCACGTTAACTGATTTCTATAATTTTTTTTTTTTTTTGTAAGGAAAGGTGGTCTCATACTAATTTGGTTTAGATCCGACCATTGCATCCTGAAGAAACTAATGGTAGTCTTAAATTTGTATATGAGAATTGTGGTCGGTTTTGCTTAAAAATTAGTTGTGGTACATATATTAATTTAATAATTTTAACATTGTATTCGTTGTTCGTAAATCGTTTCATATTGTGAAGTAGCAAACATTTAACTGAAGAAATAGTAGTTTGGATGACTGTTGATTTTCAACAAATATCACATATACACACATATCACATTGCAGGACTTTATTTTTCCAAGAAAAATTTTGATAAAGCTATGTAACTGTTGCGAAATGTCTTCTTTTTTTTGGAATACAATAGAATGTACTTGTCAAATTGCCCTCGTAGTTTAAAAGAACCTAAAATCCCCATATGCAAATCATTAGGTCACCCAAGCTTGACAATTGCTAAGAATTGGTCTTATCTTATATAATAAATATATAAAATTTAAATGATATTGAGCACACACTAAATCTAGGCACACTTTTCCTACTGGGGATGTTTCCACTGCATGCGTTTGCATTTTTATTTTATTTTATTTTTCATATAAATGCATTGATTGCCATTCACGCATTTTTCATCACAACTCGGCTAATGTTCGATCATTTATCTGGCTTGCGGGACACTTTGCAAGATACGCCCGACACGCACAGATATATAATTTTGATTTGCTGCAGCCGCTAAAAAAATCTTAAATACTATCAACGAGTTTTTCAACATTTGTCTACGCCGATTTTTCTGATTTATGTACTTATTATTTTACTTTTAATGGTCTGTCACGTATTTGACTCATTTCATTAATGTTTCTCGGTGCTTTTATTTTTGTATTTTTTGTATTCGTTTCATTTTCAATTGCAGAATTTCAACTGTGAATGCTAATGACCGTACCACACTCCATCAACAACAGCAACCTTCAATGCAACTGCAACAGCCACAACAGAACCACCAACATCAGTCACAGCAACCGCAACAATCGTCCATCAGCCGTCTATCGACACCGCAAACGGTCAAAGAGGTAGCGACGTCAGCCGCACAGCCAGCTGCTGCTGGCACAACTACAACTACAACTACAACTATGCCAGTCACCTCAAATGTCACAACAGCCACAGCCGTTAAATCACCCGCCCATGCGAATGCTACCACTATAGACAACACCAACACCAACACCAACACTGACAGCTACAGTGGCAGCAATGCTGCAACACCAACATTCACCATTCTAATTGCCATCGAAAAGCCAAGCCAAATGTGCGTAATCGACTTAATTTACCAAAGTCTGCGTCTCCTGACAAGGCAAATTGCGTATTGCGAAATTCTTGCCGTTTGCCTCGAACGCAACTTATTACAACAACAACAGCAATTGCAGCAGCAACCAAATGCCACAGCACTCAACAACAATGTAGCTGTCAGCATGGTTGGCAATGGTGAGAACAACAACGAAAGTTGCATTAAGGTAAGTTGCGCCCACACTTTTGAAAGAAAAAAATTAAAGATAAAAAAAATACATTCGACTGTCGTTACACTGCACAAAACGGTGCTGCTAGTTGAAATCATAGCATTGGTTAGGTTAGGTAGAAGGGCCGCCTCCGTAGGTGGAGACACACTTAGACAAGTATTAAGTGGGGAAGGAACCGAAAGAAGAGACCTAAGACTTCTTGTAGGCAAAAAAGCTCCGTGCTCATCACGAAGCTTCTCAAGCAACTTATGTATATCCATTCCCATTATACCATTTGGTCTGTAGAAAAAGTGCGACCCAAGGTGATTGAATCTTGGGCTTAAAAATTCAGGGTATCCGAGTAGCACTTTTGAGATGAATCCACCTCCTCATTTTCTAAGCATCTGCTGCAGTAAGGGGCATCAATGTTATTCAGCCTTACCGCATGCTTACCTTTACTGCAATGACCAGTTAGAACTCCCACCAATAGCCTGAAGTGTAACTTTCTAAGTCCTAAGTGCCCTCCTGCTCCCGGTCTACACGTGTCCAGAAGACTTTATCCACCTTGCATTCCAAGGTATTCACCCTTTGCCCGCCGAGCTGACCAAACGCCCATCTGTCCAGAAATAGACCACAAGAGGTCAGAGGGGCATCTAGACTAACTCTATCCGGGAGTATTTCCTCAAGGAGAGCAACCAATCTGAAGCCTCTTTTATTGCGGCTACCTGTTCCTGGAAAATGGCTGCAGTGATCCGGATGCCAAAATTTCAGGTTGATGGAGATTGCTTCGCAGAAGACACCTCCACCAAGCTTTCCATTTAGCTTCGATCCATCCGTAAAAAATTTAACCAGGTCGCGTTTCCCCCGTTCCTCTCTCGTTGGAATATGGGTGGTGAAAGATCCATTCGATCCACAGAACTGGAGTGCGGTGAACTCGAAATGTTTTAAAATACTGGAGTTCCCATAGCTCAAGAGGCGAACTTAAAGCGCACTTCACTAAGCCGTACTAAGGCGCGCACAGCGGCAGCATTTGGCATAGTATTTAGCGCCAGAGTAAGAGTGGTTCGAAGTGTCCCACTGATCCCAATTTAGATAGCTGTTTACGCTACTTCCAGCTGCTAGACGAGGAGGGCCTTTTTTAGCATATTCCACTAGACAAGTGCCCCATATAGTAAATTTTGGTTAATTATGGTTTCTGTGGTGCCCAGAGCTGGGCGAGATAAGAGCCGGCGAAGCTCAATAGCAACAAGACAAATCTCTGCTGTTCATTTTACTGAAAACTTAAATGCGTTTAGTGAATTGGGGGGCCACTGCCTTCTACAGGATTATAGGCATTTACAACATTTTTCCAGAGCAGCAAGATGCGGCCCTTGAAATAGCTATGAGGTGAAAGAACCTGTTTTATCACTGAGATATCCAGAGTCGACACTGAGATATCCAGAGTCGACACTTATCCGGCTAGATCTTAGGTCATTTCATTGCTTTTTATGCTGACAATAGCCGGCATCCAGATCATCGCAACAGCTTATCTATCAGCTGAAGCGGCAACGTACTCTCTGCGTTTTTTTTTTATTGTGCTGGAGATGGTACTTGCAGAGGCAATTGCCTAAAAAGCCGCCTCTCTATCTGATCCGGTGCTGATGCCGATTCGTTCTGATTCTAAAACTATTTTAGACGCCTCTCTGCTAGCAAAGACTCTCGTTTCAGAAACACGGGGTGACTTTTGCAACTGGATAGACTTTTCGATTTTGAGGTTAGTTGCAAAAAACTGCGCACCTACGCTACAATCAATTTGTGAGACATCCGTAAAAAATGCTTCGATTCAAAGCAATATCCACCTACCTTGTCCTTGAAGAAAACTTTTTGTGAAAGTAATTTTTTTTAGAAAAGCGAGGAATAGATATAGTCAAATTTTTCGCGAATTCTTGAGTCGAGTACAGGATACGTTCAAGTCTATAGCCACGATTTTTCCACAGATTCTGTTTCTTCAACCCCAGGAAACTTTGTGAAGTACTCTGCTTATTAGAGAAATGATAGATTTTATGCAAGGCTCCCGTTCGACATGATCTGATTGATCCGCCGTACTAGTTTCGCGGGGATACCAAATACAGACATCGCGAAATATAGACAACTTCTTTCGTGCCGTCGAAGGCGGGTTTAAAATCGGCCAAGAGGTATCTTAACTCTACAATTTTTCCAAGGTGTAGCCTTTGGTGAAGAGTAGGGTAACAAGTGGCTATGTCAGGTTAAGGTGGCTGCCTGAAGTCAGCAGAGGAGATAGCCCACCTTTACCATTTGAGCAAAATAATTTCGTTCTCGCCTTGTCAGAATACTTTCGCTACTATAGACAAGGCTGCGTAGCGGTACAGTGACCTGATAACTGCTTGGCCCTTAGACTATAAAATTATTGAAAACAGGTAAAATTAAAGAGTCGATAGGACAGAGCCCAACCTTTTTATAGCTGCGATCTCTGTTTAGCAAACGCTGCTCTAGTCTGGCAGTCTAAAGCAAAGACTCCATGAATGGTATTTCGGGTGTATCCACTTTCAACTTTCAAAATTAGTTTTCAGCCATCCGTGTAAGCGGCTGTGGGATGATATTGTCTACACAACAATACGGAATCTTCTTAGCAATTGTTCCTAGAAAGAATGCGTTTTGAGAACTTGTTTCTTAGAAAATTTAGGTAATTGGTTCAAATGGACAGTAGTTTTTAGCATTTCAGACGACATGCTCGGCAAGACCTTGTAAGCTTAGAAGCTCCGTTGTGCTCGACTGGCGGCTTGGGTTCATCTTCTCATCTTTAGTGCCATTTAGGTGGGTAAGTAAGTTTTCCCTCTACTACTTAAATTTAAAGACTGGCGATCTTTCTTGAGAACACATTTCTCCTGCCAAAAATGGACTTTAATAGGCTCACTCTCAAGTTTTCTCTCATTTTTTCAAGTGCATTTCTCAGCGGCACCTCTGAGCTGACTGCCAATACCCACATTACCGCGTACATATAAGTATATTTTCCAAAGAATGACATACAACTTATTAAATCATACAAATGAACATTTCAGCAATCGGCATTAAAAGCGCCAAAAGTTCCCAAAAATAAATCAATTGTGAACTGCTGAACTTTGGGTGTCTACTTTCGGGGCCAGGGCATGTCAAAAAAAAAACAGTCAAAAAAGTTGGAAAATTGTAGGTTGTCGTAACATAAAACGAGGTAAATGTCTTGATGTCGATTCGTTAACAATTAAATGAGTAGCAATGAGTAGCAAATAACAAGGTTTTGAAAGCACAATAACAACAATTGCATTGGCAAATAGAGGAAATCAAAGCAAAATATACAAAAATAGGCAATGTAGGCTAACAGAGTAGGACCAGACGGCGGCGAGAGGATGGAATGAGTCGCAAGAAGAAAACAAAAACCTGGCAAACAAATCATCAACATCTGAGCACGCGGTTAACGCCCCGACATAACACCCAATTAACCCGCTTTTTAACAAGAACCAACACAACAACAACAACAATAGCAATGACAGCAACGCTTACAAGAGTAAACATAAATAGAAAGACATGACCAAGACAATCGAACAGACAAACAAACGGACCACTGGACGTTCCACAAGTGATTGAACGTGCAAATACCAACAACAACAACAACAACAGCAATACAAACAAACAATACACGTTTCTTTGATTTCTTTCTCTCGCTTTGTTTTCCCTCGAATAGGAACAGCAACCGCAATCAGTACAAAAACAACAACACCAACAGCCGCAACAACACCCGTTGAAATTCATTAGCGTCAATGAAGTCACGACAAGTGTTGCACCTTCGCAAATACCGTACGGCAAATTGCAAGGTTTGCATCATCACGACGCGCGGAAGTGGCGCGAATTCTTCGTCGCACTCGAACCCTTTCAACGGCAATGCGCAACGGCGGGCCAACGGCTAGTGGCCGCCATGAGTGACATACGCTCCGCCGACCTGCAAGGGTTGCCCACACGACGTCAATTGTACGCGCAACATCGGGCGTTGAGTCGCGCGCTCATGGATTCTGAATTGCATAATTTGCGCAAGCGCGGTGCATTGCAATTGGCACGGCTGCAGGAGCTGGCCAAATGTTTTGCTGCAACATCAACGCCACCGCCGTCGACCGCAATGACAACTAACTGTGGTGAAAATAGTCATAATCATAATGGCAGCATCAACTCGAATGGCAACAGTAGCCACAACAACAACAACAGCAACCGCTATTACTACAGTAGCAGCAGCAGTAATGGCTGCAACAACAATCGACACAGCGGCAGCGGCAACAAACTGTTGTCGACCATTTCATCCATCAGCCACCTGGGATTTGGTGGCAGTTATAGCTTTAGCATGTCGCAACAACAACAACAACAACACTCACAACAGCAGCAGCAACAACAACAACACAGCCAAATTAGCCAGTCACAAAATCGCCCCGCTGTGTCAAAGTACAGCACAATGACGTCATATGATGGCATTAACAACAATAGTTCAGCAACAGTAGCAGCAGCCATCGTCACAACGGTAGCTAATAATGCAGTAGGAGGAGTAAGAGCAGCAGCAGCAGTAGCAGCAGCAGGAGATTGCACCAGCAGTAGCTGCAGCGTCGGCAACATGGATGTTGCAATTAGACTACACAAGGTGACATTACTATTCAATGAGGTCGATCACGCGGCCAAGCGTCTGGAGCAGCTCACGGAGCAACGTCGTGAGCGATTGCGTGAGTTGACGCGTCAGCGCGCGCTGGAGGATGAAATAAACGAGGTAAGTGACTGATAAAAGTTCGAGAGCTACTACATACTTAATGGGTGAAAGTGACTCTTTGTTTTGATGGATAATTGGCTTTTCCTGTGATGTAAGCTAAATACGTAGTATATACGTATGTATGTATGCATGCATATACGTATGTCTACATGTTGGCCGTAATGGCATAAATTCGATAGCAGAACATTTACGATCAGAGCTGTACTATATAGAGGAGTTAAAAACATTACCAAGCGAGTCTACTAATCACTATACTTTCGAGGAACAAAACAAAAAAATGGATTAATTAAACATATGATTAATCCCATGCCAAAAAAGTTAATTATAAATATTGAGAAATAATCGTTTAATCGAAAAACACTTTTCCTTAAAAAAATTTATAATTATCAGTTTGCAAAAACAAATGATTTGATAAGCGTTTTGTTGTTAAGCGGTTGCATTTCTCGGTGGCTGTAGCACCAGATTAATGGGGCGCCCTAAGGTTGAACTCATTTTCAATTGATTCTAGTGACGACTCGCTACCCGTTTCCATAAAATAATCTGCGTTAATTATTTAGGTTTGATCAATGAAAGACAAAACTACGATAAATTATACCGTAAATTGGACAAAAAATCGATTAATTTAATCAAATGATTAATCGCTGTCATACTACAATGCCTATACTATCGATTTATCGTAGGGTGGCAACCCTACTCAAAAAAATTAAAGTTTTTGTACATGCGAAGGCCATGCACTTTCATTTGGTATCTCAGTTTTGTATCCAACGAACTGTGAAAATCTTATAGTTTTTAAATAGGTGGTAACACTACTCAGCAAAATAATACATTATTACACATCTAGAGCCTAGGTCTTTTCATTTGACAATGACGGTGTAGAACTGATGCCTACGCTTATTAGGATTGAAAATAGTAATTTTCTTAACAGATGGCAACCCTATTTAAAAAGATAAGTAGTTAGTGATTTTCTAGCGAACAATAGCTTTCATTCGACACCTCAGTTTTTGTAATCCAACGAAGGGTGAGGATCTTATAGTTTTTTACACAGTTGGCAACCCTATTAAAATTCTAAATAAAAAAGGTCACTCTCCTATCGATACAGAAAAAAATCCTGTAAAAATTCGTTCAGTAGTTTTCGAGATTACCGCGTACTAAGAATCTCGTACAGAATTCGAAAATGTTCACGACAAATCCGATTTCTCTCAGTCACATCAGATCCCATCAGGCAGTGCTCGGTGATTACTCCTTCTACTAACCTGAGAGAAGAACGATACTGAGTACTGCAAAGTACCAAAATGAGTACTCCAAAGTACTGAGTACTCACAAGCAAATTCGAAAGTACTCAGTGCTCAAATATACTCCGTTCCAATAATCACCTTGATGCATGAACTCAGGATCGATTCAAAGTCCTCAGTATTAGGTGTCGAATAGATACTTAAAAGTACTAAGTTCTATTTACATTTACTGGTATCGTACTCAATTTCTTCTTATTATTATTTGGCACTGCAACGGTTTGTCGGTTTGGGCCAAGACCAAAAAACTTCGCCAGTTGCCTCTCTCCTTTGCAGATCTGCGCCAGTTTTTCATCCCAAGTACGAACAGGTCTTTCTGCACTTGGCCCTTCCATTGTGTTCGTGGTCGCCCTTGGTTTCATTTTCCACCCATGGACGCGGAGTCGAAGGATCTTTTCACCGGAGCGTCGTCATCCTTGCGTACAATATGTCCAAGCCAGCGTGGTGGTGTTTATGCTGGGTCCTAGATAAACACAGTCCTTCACTACTTCAAAGTTATGACTGCCAACAGTGACATGTGTCCCAAAATGCGAAGACTCTTTATGTGTTGCCAGGAGGTAGCTACTTAATTTCCAGTTTCGATAATTTAAATGCAATATTTCTACCCAATACAGTTAGCCATTCAATCAACGTAATTTGGGATTAATATATTAATTTGAATGAAGTGCTGCCAGCTTATGAGATTTGTACACTAAGCATTGAAATGCTACCAACATGTGTATATTTGAAGAAAGTACTCAGTACTCTCAAAAATGCACGATCCTTAAAAGTATAGATACCAAAGGAATTTATCCTCAAAAGTACTCCATACTTTCCAAAACTACACAAAAAGCTTTTCATAAATTTTTGATCCCTCTCCTTACCAGCTCGTCGGCTATTCAGTTGCCAGGAATGTACCTGTGTCCAGTGACCCATACAACAGTCAAAGAGCTTTTTGATGCCAGCAAGTTGAGAATCCTTCTGCACTCGTATGGATGCCGCTATCCATTAGTTTGTTAAACTTGCAACCATCTGTGCATATATAGCCATCGACCCTAAGTCTAAGTCTATGGCAACTTTCCATTTGTGAGATTCTTATGGAGAAATTATTGTTTAAACAGAGTAGAGGAGTGATATAATCTAACTGTCGTAGATTAGCCGGTAGAGTGTCAAGGACCTTTGCGTGTCCGAAGCTGAGGTCTCTACAGGGCTGGATTGCTTTTAACCTGGACCGAAATTTGGCGTAGAGATCCACCGATGGAAGATTTAAGATCATTCCAAAATTTGTTGCGTATAGTGGCTAAAGCTCTCGTGATGAGTATGTAAGCCGTCCTCTGTACCTTTGGCTATGTAGTTGGTATCAACTTGCTCATACGAAGGCCGGATTGTGATGAAGCCTGCATACATTTTTAATGGAAATTTTTCACTTTGTTTATACTTTCAATTTATGGATTAAAATAAGTGACATACTAATTCTATATTTCTTATAAAGTCCTCAACTAGTGTGTTTTTTACATTCCTTTCACATATTCATAGTCATATCCCAAATGGCTCAGCAGACGTATTCAGCAATAATACAGACAAATACCATTTACGAAAAAATCCATAGAAACCCAATTTGTCATTTTAATAAATTTAATAAATGATGCACACTAAATGTCATATACGTATTTCCATACAAAAACGCGCCTGTGCAATTGAAAGCTTAAAAAAAATATTGCACCAACCTCTGTAATCTTCAAAGTAAATATGACATATACATGTGTACTTTTGTAAAATGCATTGTAATTGTTGCTTGTGTTTTTTGTTTTTTTTTTTGTTATACTAAAGAGTACACGTAAGTTGAGACACGTTCCTCTTTCTCACCAAATCGGCTTTGTCAGTCGCCGCGTTTTTGTCACTTGACACTCTTTGACTTTTCAACTCTTGTCCATTAGTGATTACCTGTGGACATACATACATACACCTACCTAGCTACGTTTTTATGTATGTATGTACAAACCTATTTACTATTTATAACTTTGATGCCATTGTGTATCTGCTGTTGTTGGTCGTGGTGATGGTGTTGTAGATGATGTTTCGGTTTCGGTTCAACGTTGCAAAACGAAGTGGTAACAGAGTGCCTTAAGCAAATATGCGGTGCACGACTTATCAATTTGTTAGCCATGAGTTTGCCTTTTTCAAGTCAAAATACAAAGATAACGGTGATGCATAAATATCTGTGTACAAATATAAGCATACATATGTATGTATGTATGTACATACAAACACACTCCCAAGCCCTCAAGCTACGATATGGCGATTATGAAATTGCATCTTCGATTAATCAAAAGTTTTCGAAGGAAGATAGTTGATATATGTATGTAATTTCATGTATTAATGAAGGTGTTGTGAAAATGTCGCCGGCGGCAAAGTTCATTGAACTGCGGTGATAAATGGGAAATAACACGATTTAATTTTGAACCAGGCATACATATGCGCATGACCTATAAAATGCTGGCAAAAAAAATTAGCGTAAATTAGAAATATTTGTTTAATGAAATTTCTGGCTTACAACTTATGCGTATCTTATGTATGTATTTATGCGTGTCTGTATATACATATGTATGTAAGTATTATATTTAAGTATTCATGTAGCATCCGTTTTGTCCCGCCTCGCATGCTTCATGCGGAAATTGTTTTTGTTTTTTTTTCGTATTTTCCGCTCAATTTGTTAGCGTTAAAATTTATTTTCACATTGAAAAGTGAAAATCTTTGCAATAAATCTGGTAGCAATTAGTAGCAACTACATTTCAACGCAATTTTTTCAACGATCGTAACTATTTATACACTAATGAATTATCGGCAAGTTTCTAAATGATTTGCATATTTTGATTTATTCACACTTTCCCAGGTAGACAACTCAATTTTGACCAGTTTGGCAAACGGTTGAATGTACACTGAGAAAAATAAAGGTATTTATTTGCTAATACTTTTGTAGAAAAAAATTTTAAGCAAATGGGGCTCAGGAAGCGGTACTCCCAGGACATGATTTCCGATTCGAATTTAAAATGGAAATGTTACACCCGAATTTATAATTTACTGCTAAAATTTTAATTCAAAATCTAAGTAAAACTCAAATTCAACTTCACATCCTGACTTAAACTCAAAGACAAATTCTCACACAAATTTAAAAATTTAACTCAAATCCAAATAGAGCTGAAACTCACAAAAACCTAAACTCACACTCAAATTTAAGCTCAAACATTTTTTCGAACTCAAATTTAAACTTAAGTTAAATTCGAGCTACAACTCAAACAAAAACTCAAACTCAAATTCACTCAAATGCAAACTCAAATTCGTTTAAACTCAAATTCGAACCTAAACTTAAACTCAAACCCAGAATCAAACTGAAACCGAAATTCTAACTCAAATTCGAACTTAAATTTTTACTCAAACTGAAAATCAAGCTCAAGCTCAAAATCAAACTCAAATTTGAATTTAAACTCATACTAAAACTCAAACCAGATTTTAAATGCAGGAAAATACTCAACCGTACGCTCAATAAAAAGCAAGCTCAATACCAAGCTCAAATTTTAATTCACTCAAACTCAAAAACTAAATTTTATTTTAACTCTAACCTAAGGTCGATTTCAAATCCAAACTGAAACTCAAACTCAAAATCTCACTCCAACTTAACTACAAAATAAAACTCAAACACAAACTCAAACTCTAAAACTGAATGCTATTCTA